GTGTGTGTGTGTGTGTGTGTGTGTGTGTGTGTGTGTGTGTGTGTGTGTGTGTGTGTGTGTGTGTGTGTGTGTGTGTGTGTGTGTGTGTGTGTGTGTGTGTGTGTGTGTGTGTGTGTGTGTGCGTGTGTGTGTGTGTGTTATTGCTTGTGTGCTTGTGTGTATGTGCATTTGTGTGTGTGTGTGTACGTGGATGTGTTTGAGTGTGTGTGTGTGTGTGCATAAGTTGAAACTTCTTTTTCTTGGTATGCATGCATGTGTGATTGTGTGTGTGTGTGTGTTCTGGTTAACTCTGGTTAACCCGTCTGGTCTGACTGGTGCCTGTCCTTCATTCCTGTGAGGTCATGTGACCCTCTGTAATGACAGGGATTTGCTCTGGACATCAGGAGCAGCTCTGGGCAGTAAATAGTGTCCTGTATCTGCCAGAAGCCGGAAACACACGTCTCCGCAGCGCAGAGAGAGAGTCCAACTATGAGTGATGTCCTGGCGCAGACACACACACACACACACACACACTCTGCAGACGCTTTTTACATCTGCATCTGCAGTAAATCAGTCTGCGCTCGTGCTCAAACACCGGCACAGCTGATTCAGCATCAGTAATTGCCTGTATTGACATTTTCTTTGCTTAAAGACTGCTTTGGTCCTGGTATAGTAAATAATTAAGATCACACTGCAAAAAAATGTTCTGACAGAGAGTTTGTGTCTTTTTTCTAGTCCAAACATCTACAAATTCTGAAATCAAGAAGCATTTTCTAGACGAGCACTAAATATTGTCTTGTTTTCAGAAAGAATGGGTCCGTTTTCCTAAAACAAGCAAAATAATCATCATTTAGATTGATTAACATTCACATATTTTACTTCGATATTAATAATTACAGGTTATTTTGCTAAGTTTAATGAGTGATTCACTTAAGAGTGATTCAGTAATTCATTCAAAATAGACTCATTTAGAACCAACAGAAAACTTTTTGAACGAATCACTGAATCACTGACTCAAATGATTCATTTCGGAAAAAGTCACCAAATTTTAAGATGAAATTATAGCTTAAGTTTTTCTTTCAGCTGTTGAAATGGTCATTTTTGACCCATAAGTCAACATTACACTGCAAAACATGCTTTTCTTAGAGTTTTTGTCTTGTTTCTTCTCCAATTTCTAAGCATTTTTAGGCAAGAACTAAATGCTGTCTTGTTTTCAGAGACTAAATTAAACAAGTTTTTCAGTAAAACAAAGTAAAAAAACAATATTATTTTGCTTTCACTTTGATAATAATGATAATTAAAGAATATTTTTACTAATTTAACGAGTAATTAAATTAAAAGTGACTCATTTAAAATGGCTGATTCATTTAGAAGCCACAGAAATCTTTATGAACGAATCACTGACTCACTGACTCAAATGATTCATTTTGGAAAAAGTCACTAAATTTCAAGATGAAATTATTGTTTATGTTTTTTCTTTCTGTCAACATTACACTGCAAAACATGCTTTTCTTAGAGTTTCTGTCGAAATAAAGCATTTTTTCTTTAAGCAAGCGAAATAATCTGTTAATGGGGTGTGAAATAATCTTACGTCAAAAAAGGAAAAACAATATATATTTTTTTCTGCCATTGTCAGATTATTCTGCTTGCTTTAATGAAAAACTCACTTCATTTTGACTCAATATTTCTGAAAATAACACAAAAATGTGTTGCTTGTCTAAAAAATGCTTCTTGATTTAAGAGTTTTTGGATGTTTGTATTAGAAACAACACAAAAACTCTAAGAACATTATTTTTTTAAATAAACTCCACAGAAGGTGAGGCAGTGGCGCAGTAGGTAGTGCTGTCGCCTCACAGCAAGAAGGTCGCTGGGTTGCTGGTTCGAACCTCGGCTCAGTTGGCATTTCTGTGTGGAGTTTGCATGTTCTCCCTGCGTTTGCGTGGGTTTCCTCCGGGTGCTCCGGTTTCCCCCACAGTCCAAACACATGCGGTACAGGTGAATTGGGTAGGCTAAGGTGTCCGTAGTATATGTGTGTGTGTGGATGTTTCCCAGAGATGGGTTGCGGCTGGAAGGGCATCCGCTGCGTAAAAACTTGCTGGATAAGTTGGTGGTTCACTCTGCTGTGGCGACCCCGGATTAATAAAAGGACTAAGCCGACAAGAAAATGAATGAAAACTCCACAGAAAGAGCTCGTTGTGCCTGATCGTCAGATATATGCAGCTGACGGAGCGTTCTGAATGATTTTCCCATTCCTGCAGTGATGTGTGTTTCCATTGACACGTTCAGCAGACGCCGGCCGAGCAACACTTTATTCCCGATGTCCCCAATCCTCAGGGCTTTTCCAGCAGTGTGAACTTTAATAATCAGCTTCCATTCGCAGTCGAGAAGCTCATTGTACACTTTATTACTGCATTTAGTCCACGGCGTATGCAGTTACAGCTCGTCTGGCCCAAAATATTTCATTTTTATAATCTCTGTCCTCCTTTTCAGACCATCACAGTTTCTGTTTTTCCAAGTTTCTATATGTAAATGAGGACGTCTGCTTGAGTTAAGCTGCTGAAGATTGATGCTGATGGAGGATTTTGCGGGCTGCGGTGGCATTTATCCTTTAATTTGAGTGTAGATTGGTAAATTTCTATTTATGCATGTTTGATTTTCCAATCTGAATCATGTATTACAGGCAAATCTCTAGCATTCCTCATGCATTCAGAACAGAAAAAAGCAATAATGTCCATTTGTTTTGTTAAAAAAAATACTATAGTCAGTGTAAATACTACAGTATAGTTTTTTTTTGAGCCAAACTATAGTAAAGTGTTTTATACCGTATATATTATAGAATCTACAACTCTGTTAATGAATGCTCCAGCATACTGTAATATTAACTACAGTCAACTGATAAATACTGTAGGATACTGTCGTTTTTACTACATTAAACTGTGGGGTATTGTAAAAAAAAATCCTTATAGTTGTAGAAAACTACATTATTGGGTCATTTGTTTATATTGCTATAGTTGTTACCATAGCAACTGTAGAACCACCACAACAGATCAATTACTATAGTTGTTGTTACCATAGCAACTGTAGAATCACCACAACAAATTCATGACTGTAGTTGTTGTGTTACCATAGCAACTGTAGAACCACCAAAACAGATCAATTACTATAGTTGCTGTGTAACCATAGCAACTGTAGAATCACCACAACAGATCAATTACTATAGATGTTGTGTTACCATAGCAACTGTAGAACCACCAAAACAGATCAATTACTATTGTTGTTGTGTTACCATAGCAACTGTAGAATCATCACAACAGATCAATTACTATAGCTGTTGTGTTACCTTAGCAACTGCAAAATAACCATAGCAGATTCATTCAAGTACTTTACGATAGTGTGGTTCAACAACAGTGTTTACTACATTATTTTTCGTGTACTGCAGCATTTTTTCATGTGACATAACATTATTTTATTCAACATTAAATATTTCACTGACCAGTCGACTACACAAAAGACACATGTAGGATGTGAATGGTGAGTCCGAGCTTGTGTTGTCGATGAGAGTGTTCCAGGTCTACACCTCTGCTTCAGCTCACTCAGATCTGGTGAGGTGTTTCTATGAAGCCACTGAGCCAATAATCTGATCATACATGGATTATTTGCTTGCATGTAAATGTAGTTATGGGAGAGGATGTTTTGAGATCTGAATGTTGGAGTATCAAACACGTTATGTTTTTTTAACATTCCCTCAATAGATATAAGGAATAATTGACGACTGATGTCATCTGAGGCATAATATCTATGCATTACTGTATTATAACTCCACATCCCAGAGGTGTTTGTTGCTCTTCTCCTCTGGTCTCCACTGTTCACACATTGTGTTTGAATGTTTGTCAAGTGTGTATCCTCCTCAAACTGCTCCTGTGTGTAGCTCTAGTGTCCTCCTCCTGTTGTGTTCTGATGTGATTTCTAACTGTTGTAGCTGTGAAGTAACTCTAATCATTCAGCAGTGATTTGGAGTTGCTCTAAACCTGCCGGAACTACTTTAGCTGTGTCTTAACAATAACCAAACAGCTCAAAATGCTCATCAGCCAATCAGAATCAAGCATTCAACAGAGCTTGGTTCTTGATTCTAGACCAAATACCTAGAA